TTGTTTATGTAAAAGTCTCTTCTTCGCAAGAATTCAGATTCTTTAATCGAAAAAAAAAATCCTCAGAGAATCATCAGCCAAAGGTACACAATATACTTTCTCTTTAGTCTTTCATTTCAAATCACTTCAAAAAATCTCATTACAAGTATTAATCTATTGCTTAGACTAGTCCATTTCTAAAGATGGTTAGAGAAAATCTATGCAAGATTAGGTTCCCAAGAAATCAAAGTTGTCTAAAGTTAATATTCGTTTGCAGTTTTTAAAACCATCTTTATTTAGCTCTTAAACCAGTTTCATGGAAGGAGAAAACATGTTTGAAGAAATTGGGTGTTTTGATCCAAATGCTCCGGCAGAAATCACGACGGAGAGCAGTTTTTCTCCGGCGGTTCCACCACCGCCGGTCACCGTCGCCGGTAGCACGAGCAACAGCAACTGCAGTCTAGAAGATCTCTCTGAGTTCCACCTCAGTCCGCAAGACTGTTCTTTAGCCGCAACAGCTTCTGTTCATCAGCTTCACATCAATGCTACTCCTAATTGTGATAATCAATTCCAGAGTTTAATGCATCAAACCTTTCAAGATCCATCATACGCGCCACAATCGAATAATTGGGACAATGCTTACCAAGATTTTGTGAATTTGGGTCCTAATCATACAACTCCTGACCTACTCAGCCTCTTGCAATTGCCAAGATCCTCACTTCCGCCTTTCGCAAACCCGAGCCTTCAAGATATTATCATGACATCTTCCTCTGTTTCCCCCTTCGACCCGCTCTTCCATTTAAATTTCCCTTTGCAGCCTCCTAATGAGACTAATTTACTAGGAGTTGATGATCATATTGAACCAAATGGAGTGAATAATCTGGTTTATGCTGGAGAAAACAACGACCTCGATAATGGTCTTAACCGTAAAGGCAGAGCATCCAGGAAGCGGAAAGTTTTCCCTACAGAACGCGAAAGAAGAGTTCACTTCAAAGACCGTTTTGGTGACTTAAAGAATCTAATTCCAAATCCCACCAAGGTTAGTTAACTTCTCTTTCAAGTAATAAACTTTACAAACTAAACCCTCATTCTTGTTGATGAAGTTTTGTTTACTATATCACTGTAGAATGATAGAGCATCGATCGTTGGAGAAGCGATAGATCACATTAAAGAATTGTTAAGGACGATTGAGGAATTCAAGATGCTATTAGAGAAGAAAAGAGTCATAAAACAACGGAACATGAGAGGCAGAATCGAAGAAGAAGGAGATGATGTTGTTCTTGATGAGAACTACAAGGCGCAAAGCGAAGTTGTAGAACAATATATGATCAACAAGAACAACAATTCCTTGAGATGCTCGTGGTTAAAGAGGAAATCAAAGTTCACTGAGGTCGATGTACGTATCATAGACGATGAAGTTACAATCAAGATCGTGCAAAAGAAGAAAATCAATTGTTTGTTGTTTGTCTCTAAAGTGATTGATCAGCTTCAGCTTGATCTTCACCATGTAGCTGGTGCACAAATCGGAGAGCACCATAGCTTCTTGTTCAACACAAAGGTTTGTCATAAAACAATTCAATTTTAATATTCGGATTAAATTAGACTAACGAAATATTGTGATGAACAGATTTGTGAAGGATCTAGTGTTTATGCAAGTGCAATAGCAGATAGAGTTATGGAAGTGTTGGAGAAACAATATATGGAAGCTCTTTCGACGAATAATGGAGCCTATCACTGCTACTCTAGTGATTAATGTGTTTTCTTCTTGCTAGTTACGACTTTAATTATGGATGATTAATAATCACATTAGTAATGTTTCGTTGTTTTATTTTAGTTTTGTGCTTGAACATTTTCCAATTATTTCCCCAGATTTTTCTTCGATTAATTTTCTGGATTTTATATGTGATGAGAGTTCCATCTTTTCCACTTCTTTTAATCTTATAGAAAAACCAAACATTCGAAAGTTTGTTGACTTTCATCTATAAAATCTTGATGTCAAATTTTGGAGACTCCATACATCTATCTATAATCTTAATTAAGGTTCCTGGTTCATGACAATCGTTATTATAATGTCTAAGGTTGTAAATTAAAAATGCACTGAATTAAATCTTTGACAAACATTACTATAAGTATTGTAAAAAAAACATTATTATCGTGACCAAAAAAAAAAACATTATTATAAGAGCATCCACATTCGTAATAAAATATGGGTGTCTTTAAATATAAAATTATTAAAAGTTGAGTAAAAATAAGAAAGAAAGTGTTTTTGGTTGAAATAATAGGGTGTATTAAAATATAAAATTAATAAAATTTGAGTAAAGAGAGGAAATAGTAGATATTGTTGGAGAGATTGTGTCTTTAGGAAGACATAAATAGTGACATTTGGAAAGAGAATGTGAATGTGTTTAAATATAAAATTAATAAAAGTTGAGTAAAAAAATGAAAGAGAAAGTATAAAGTTGAGTAAAAGGATGAGAGAGTGTGTTTTTAATATTTTTATATTGTGAGACATTGGTAAAATGTCTCCAATGTGGATGGCCTAAGCAAAAGAAGTACGCACTATTGTAATAGGCTACTTAGCCATTGCCCATTGAGCATTTGGGCTCTCTGAAATTCTTTAATTCTTACGAGTTTAAACAGAAAATCCCTTATCAAACAAAATATAAATGCAAGTTGACAAGGAAAAAAGAAAAAATTACCAATCGCAAAAAAGGTTCTAAAGCTACGTAGATAAATTACAGCAATGTCAAAGATTATACGAATAACTTGTGCATCGACGGTAAAACTTAAAAGGAAACGGCTATCACTGAAAAAACTCTTAAAAAAAAAAAATCGGATGGTTTATGAACTTGAAGTGACGGAACTAGACTGTAACGAACTAAGACTGTCTTTGCCCCAAAGAGATCACATGATCCACCTAAACCCAACAACCTAGAGAGAGAGAGAATGAGTTCAAATTGTTTAGTATTATAGTTTTGGATCATCTCTCCGTTTAAATTTGCTTACCATCGGATTGACGTCATGGAAGGTT